TTGGTTATCACAAATTGAGTTAACAAGTTGATTAATTTTATACGCAGTTATTATCCAGAGCGGCAAAATAGTATGGTTCAGCTATTCGAAAAAAGTCAACCTTTTTAAGTGATTCCTAGGAAAAAAGCTATGAATGGAAAATATTTGTTTGTTTATGTTTACTCACGTAGATCATCATAGAGTAGTACCGTTGCCGAAGATTGTGCAGTACTGAAGCCTCGTTTAAAAATGTCAGATTCGACATGTCTTCGGTTTTCTCGAATTTAGCCGGATTGATCTCTTGACATTCGTCTTTGGTGGTTTTCTTCTGAAAAAATCTGTATATCTTGGATATCGTTTTTGTTCTGCTAGATTCCGAATTTTTCTGCATACCCTAAATTTCACAATGGTAAGTAAACTTAGCGGCAACTTCAATGCTTACTCTATGGGAACTTTGGAAGTTAAGTTAGTGTTAAAGGTGCCCAAGGATATTATTATTTGTAGTACCAACAATACCGCACCGTACTTCCATCAGGCATGGTGAGTGTGTAGTTGTTTCCTTCTTGGACCGCGATTGCAGCAATGACGAAGCCCTCCACTGGATCTGCTACCCATGTGTGAGTCTTGTTGTCAAAACGTCGAGCAGCTTGTTCCTGAAAGAGCAGCTGTTTTGGCGCAGTCCGGCGACGCGGGGGGGGGGGGGGCAGCATTCTTGCACATCCGCTGCTTCCCATTGTCGTGTCGAGCTACCAAATGGAGATTCGTGAGTTCCTGTGAAGCCATGAAGTGATATCAGTCATAGTTGATAGAAACTACTGGTCAACTTTCGTAAAGGAAACTTGTCAACTTTTGTAAAGCGATGGACATGATAACTGGGAAGCAGCGAAAGTGCAAAACCCCCCTCCTCTCGCCAAACTGCCCCAGAATTTCTTTGAAAAGCTTATCCTTGAACGGGCAAAAACACACAAACCAGTAAATGAGCGTAGACAGTTTGGTGGTGGGGGAGGGGCTTTTGCACTTTTGCTACTTCTCTCTAAAGAGCTATTAGATGAACTCACAACGGTTGACAGGTTTAACCCCATGGTGACTCGACGAGCCTGCTCCAGCTTCTGAAGGGTTCACAGATTCCACCAGAGTGACACTTGTAAACCAGAACCAGTGAAGCAGCAAAAAAGCAAAATGCCCCCCCCCCTGTCTCCGAACTGTGCCGCGTAGAAGCCTTGCAAAAAAGGGAGAAAATTTTAAAAATTGGGAGCAGTGAAAAAAAAGAATTGAGTGAAATTCAAAGGAAAATCCATTGCGTTAAATGTACAATTCACGCTAATCGCGCAGGCGGAGACATGAGCGAGACCAGAGAATTGTTGCGCCGCTCACTGATGCTTTCCTTTTTACAGCCCAGGAGAGTGTTAAGGAAGGTGCAGAAGGGTTGTTTGTATCCGCCCATGCGATCAGTTTAGGCTGTGCCTCTGAGCACCATTTATAAAGGCTCGAAGTGTTGGTCCAACTAGTCGAGAGCCGTACTTTCGAAGTTTAAAGTGTGGGCCTTTTTATGGGGCTGTATAATGAGCGCGATGCTAGTGCTGTTTAGATAATGTTTCATCCTCTCTAGAACTTTGGCTGTGCGGTGAACAATCGGTTTTTACAGAGGGGACGCTGCTTTGGCCGTGACAGGGAGCGAGCCTATGAGCTGTGCAGTCACTATGCTATCTCCGGAAATCTAGCTCCACATAAAATGAGCTGATGTCCAGCTGGTCCTAACTGGAGCACGTATGCAAAAGAGGGTGCCTACGAATCCAGTGAGATATCTTCAAGTTAGAGTTTCATTTCTCTAACAGCTCTACTCTTAATGGTGCCAACTTCAGGAGTGCCTTTATTCTACCACTTAGAATGTAAGAAAAACAAAATAGGGAAAAGAATACACTCCAAAGCACAGATGATCCGTTTCGCCCGTTATCGCAGACGAATCATCGTTCTCTTACTTGTCTTACTAACACCCGTGCTCGTGAGTGCGACACGAGCAACCCGAACTT